GGGTAAAGGGGGGGGGGGGTAGAGGAGGGGAAATTTTCTCACTGCAGCTGAAAACATAGTTGATGTTTGACATTTGATCTATATAGATGTTCTATAAATTATTGAAAGCCATTGGGAAAAAGGGAAGCATTGGAGGGTGCTATCCCATTTGAACACTCCCGTTTGAACATAAATTGTTCATTTGAACTATAAATTGTTCGTTCGAACTATAGCACGTTGTACCACCTGAGTAATTGTTGAAATGAACATATATATATATAGTTCAATTCAAACGAGTAATATAATTGCTCATTGAACTATTTTTCCATTTGAACTATTAAATGAAATAAGAAAATTATATAGTTTAAACATAAAAATAGTTCAAATGAACGTAAAAATAGTTCAATGAACAAAAAATTATATAGTTCAAATGAACAAAAAATAGTTCAAATGAACAAAAAAATAGTTCTTAAATGAACAAAAAAATAGTTCAATATTGGCCACACAAAAATAGTTCAAATGGACATGAAAATAGTTCAAATGGGCAAAAAATATAGTTCAAATGGACAAAAAATAGTACAAATGAACAAAAAAAAGTTCAAATGAACAAAAAAATTGTTAAGAAATGAACAAAAAAATAGTTCAAATGGACAAAAAAAATATAGTTCAATGGACATGAAAATAGTTCAAATGGAAAAAAAATAGTTCAAATGTCGACAAAAAAATAGTTCAAATGAACAAAAAAAAGTGACCATCCATCTAAAAGAAGGACATGTCGTATTCTCAATGGTACCCTTGAAACAGTTATCAAATATGTGGAAATTAACATCATTTTAGATTTCTGCCGAAATGGACTTAATTATTTCGAAATAATGTATGATCAGACGTAATCTGTCGGAGACGACCTTTGAAACAGGGTTACATTAGGGATATGGTTCACAACAGGATATGTCGTCATGTCAGTTATAGTTCAAATATAAACAATAGTTCAAACGAACAATTGTTTAACGAACAATTTATAGTTCAATGAGAATCCACCCATTGGAGGGTTAACAGTATCCATGTGTTAATTATACATTATGTATTTAGGGATAACTTTTTTCTAACTAAGGTACATAGATAGGTAGATATCCAGCTAAAAATGAAAAAACTTCGATCGGCTATTATAATTTATAATCATCGATGCAATTGTTTTATGAATTAATTGATTGTTAAATGTATCAAAGTAAAGACGATATATTTAATGGCTGGCTTTCTGACAAACCAAACCAAACCTTTAATCTCTATTTCACAATATCGGACATCGCGGCATTTCAGTGTATAGTGATTATCTTTTTTCGTCCATCTTTTACAGATCAATTTTGCACTGGCGATTTATTGCAATTTTTCCGAATAATTAATTTTGATCTGACCATCGTTGATTTGAAACAAACAGGTATTTATACTATAGAGTATTATAGATTTATATATATATTATAGAGTATTATAGATCTGCATATATATGAGATGAATTTCCATACGCCCCTCCTTGATTTTAATAAATTGTACTTTTTGGTATCATTCTTCTTTTTGGGTCCGTCCTAGTATACGAATTTGGAACCCCCCTCTTATCAACTTTGTTCATGACCAATTTTTCAACAATTTTCAATAAAATTAGTATAATTAGAGTTATTTTTGCATACATCAAACAATAGTCTGATCTGAGCCTGGGACTTTTACACATAGATTCGCAAAATGATACAAATCGGCTTCACAACATAGTTTTTAAATTAATTTGTTAAGAAATTTGTTCAATAAAATATCTATAAGTTTGTCGTGGCAAACCAAATAAAATACGAATAGCAGTATTCCAAGAAGTATAAAATTTTTTTATATATTTTAAAATAATTTCAGATATGTGTTTTGTTTCTTAATATTTAAACGAAACACAAAATTAAATATTTCAAATTTTCAGATAAAATGGAGACGCTGCCACCCCTGCTTCAGGACCTCGCGGCACAGTTGGAATCTTTTCTTTTACATCCCGAGGTAACATTAAGGATTTAAAATTTAGGACTTCATTATTTTTTTTCATTTTTAAATTTCTAGGTCATGACGGTTGAACTCTGTAAATTAAGGTCTGCTTAAGCCATAAATTATGTATGTCAATTTTCGATAGACACTCCAACTAGAAATAATCAATTTTTAACTTGAGAGAGAATGTATAATTTTATGGTTTTTTAACAATTACAATGGGGTGTGAATTTTAATTAGGGGTCACTATCAGAATAACGTCGAGTCTCCTTTACACCGTGAAATTAAAATGTTTATTTCACATAGGCGCGATACCGGAATTCTATTTATATTTATTTTCAAAATATATTAATCTGGTATTCATTATTAAACCAGTTATAGTTTCTGGAGATTCGAAAAGATCTTCCGTTGGAATATAATATTTTCCACCGTGGGATATATATTCCGTCGGAATATAATATTTTCCGCCGTGGGATATATTTTCCGCCGGAATATAATATTTTCTAGCGTGGGATATATTTTCCGTCGGAATATAATATTTTCTAGCGTGGGATATATTTCTATTAGTGCCAAAGAATTTGAAATTTTTTCTAAACATACATCTATATTTATTTTTCGAATTCATTGTTTTTAACATAAGTAATGCTTCCAATAAATAAAAATTAAAAGTTTTAAAGATATTATATTTTTGTCGGAAAATGAGTATTTCTGCCGAAATGGACTTAATTATTTCGAAATAATGTATGATCAGTCGTAAATTTAATTTTCTGCCTGCATATAATATTTTCGTTCTAAATATTTATTCTTCTGTTATTATATTTATCAAGGGATATTATATTCATCAAGGTATATTATATTTATCAAGGTATATTATATTTATCTAGGGATATTATATTTATCAAGGGATATTATATTTAAAATTCAGTGATGGTAATGGGCCAAACCTCTGTAGAGTAAAAAAGTAGATGTTAGTTCCACATTTATTGAAATATATTTCGGTCTAGGTTGACCCTCGTCAGTTCTAACGATATAATAACCATCAAAATCGATTAAAAAAAAATAAAAAAATGTAAAAATCACAAGAAGATAAACAAACAAAAAGATTATTCAAAATAAAAATTTGGGCTGTCAAATGGACATAAGGGAAAAGAACTCAGATTATGAGATGGAAAAAAGATAATGTATATTTATCTAGGCACATTATATTTATCAAGGTTTATTTCATTCATCAAAAGATATCATATTTTATCTAGGGATATTTTATTCATCAAGGGATATTATATTTATCAAGGTATATTTTATTCATCAAGGGATATCATATTTTATCTAGGGATATTATATTTATCAAGGGATATTATATTTATCTAGGGATATTATACTTATCAAGGGATATTATTTTTTTTATCAAGGGATGTTTTACAATATTTTCTCCATGGATATTATAATTTCTGTTTAGGTTTTACCAATGCATGACACAGGACCAGCTCAGGAGTTTTGGTTGAGAGAACCTGAACCTTTAAACCTACTAAGCTGTAAACCTGCCCCGATAGACACAAGACTACAGGTATTCAGGGATATATATTGAACCTTTAATCCTACTGAGCTGTAAACCTGCCCTGGTAGATACAAGACTACAGGTATTCAGGGATATATATTGAACCTTTAATCCTACTAAGCTCTAAACCTGCCCCAGTAGACACAAGAACACAGGTATTCAGGGATATATACTGAACCTTTAATCCTACTGAGCTCTAAACCTGCCCCGATAGACACAGGAACACAGGTATTCAGGGATATATATTAAACCTTTAATCCTACTGAGCTCTAAACCTGCCCCAGTAGACACAAGAACACAGGTATTCAGGGATATATATTAAACCTTTAAATTTAATCCTACTGAGCTCTAAACCTGCCATGGTAGACACAAGACTACAGGTATTCAGGGATATATATTAAAACTTTTAAGTTTAATCCTACTAAGCTCTAAACCTGCCCTGGTAGACACAAGACTACAGGTATTCAGGGATATATATTAAACATTTTAAGTTTAATCCTACTGAGCTCTAAACCTGCCCTGGTAGACACAAGAACACAGGTATTCAGGGATATATATTGAACCTTTCAAGTTTAATCCTATTGAGTTCAAAGCTGCCCCAGTAGACACAAGAACACGGGTATTCAGGGATATATATTGAACCTTTAATCCTACTGAGCTCTAAACCTGCCCCGATAGATACAAGAACACAAGTATTCAGGGATATATATTGAACCTTTAATCCTACTGAGCTGTAAACCTGCCCCTGTTGACACAAGACTACAGGTATTCAGGGATATATATTAAACCTTTCAAGATTAATCTTACTGAGCTCTAAACCTGTCATGGTAGACAGACACAAGAACACAGGTATTCATGTATTCCTAGTAGGGGGCCAGACTGGTTCAGGATTTTTCTTATTGGTACGGGTCGGATATTACTGTAGGCGGTGTGGGTTGCCCAAGATGGGGCTTCTTGCAGATCTCATCTCGCATATCACATATCACAGGTATTCAGGGATATATATTGAACCAATAAACATCCTCAGCTCCATTTAGTGAAGACCTGTGGATTTATTTAACTCCTCTTCAACATTCCGCGGTGGTCCTACCTAGCAATTTCTTTCATAGGGGGATCAAGCATTTATCCTCAAATTTAAAATTTCCCACATTGGATATCGAAATCAATTAGTCAACTCCCCTTTAAAGTTCTGACATTTAAGAAGTTTTTTATGAGAATGGTTATGGTTCCTGATTTCTTTCTCACAGATTATCCTAATTATCGAGTATTCTTTACATTCATTCACTCAAATTATTTGTGTAACAACATGCTCCGTGCAGGTGACCCGAAATCCATGTACTGGTGAGGTTGAGGGGTTTACCGAAGTTTATGTTAAAGATGCTGGAACTACCGCCAAAAATTCCACTTCTCTAAGGTTGGTAAATTTCTGAAAAAGACTCGAATTTTGTTTTATATCTCATCAAAGTCTGATCATAGAGACTGCTATTGTAAATTTCAAGTGACCATCCATCTAAAAGAAGGACATGTCGTATTCTCAATGGTACCCTTGAAACAGTTATCAAATATGTGGAAATTAACATCATTTTAGATTTAATAGTTTTAAATTGCAAAAAATGCGCAACCGCCTTCAAACAGAAATATTCAGATCTTAAACCAACATATATATAACTCATCCTTGATCATAAAATATTCAGATCTTAAACCAACATGGATATATATAACTCATCCTTGATCATAAAATATTCAGATCTTAAACCAACATGGATATATATAACTCATCCTTGATCATAAAATATTCAGATCCTAAACCAACATGGATATATATATCTCATCCTTAATCATAAAATATTCAGATCTTAAACCAACATGGATATATATATCTCATCCCTTGATCATAAAATATTCAGATCTTAAACCAACATGGATATATATATCTCATCCTTGATCATAAATGTTTGCAAGGAACCTGACATGCCATTCTAAAGATGGAGGTCGGATGATCACTTTATATTATGTTTACTATTCACTAAATATTATTATCAATATTATTATAAATATTATCAATCAATCTGTAATAATTTTAAATAATAAAATCTATCAAAGGGGAGGGTACTGTTTTCCCATTTGAATACATTTTGGACTCCTGTCCTCATTTTTTGAGGAATCTGAATGAAATTTTGCATATGGGCATAATTGTGTTTGTTTTAAGTAAAATAAAAAAATAAGGGAAAAAAATTTTTTCTTCCTTTTTTTCCACATTTTGACATGTTTTTTAAAGCTTTTTCTCCAAAAAGTCTGAGTCAAATACCAGCTAGGTGCTTTAAACACCTGCTTGTTAGTCAAGAATCTCATTACTAACATCAGAACGAAGTTTAAGGTTTATCAGATCCCTTTTCCCCCTATTTACCCCTTATTTTATCACATTTTCCCACTTTGATAATATTTTCAGATTTTCTGGATTCATGAATTCATTTTGCATATGGGCATCATTTGTGTTTCTTTTAAGTAAAATAAAAAATTAAATTAAAAAAACATAATTCCCCCCATTTTCCCTATTTTTCCATGTTTTCAAACTTTTTTTCTCCAAAAAGTCTGAGTCAAATACCAGCTAGGTGCTTTAAACACCTGCTTGTTAGTCAATAATCTCAGTACTAACATCAGAACTAAGTTTAAGGTTTTCAGATCACTTTTCCCCCTATTTTATCCATTTTTTCCCACTTTGTTAATATTTTCTGATTTTCTGGATTCATGAGTTAAGTTTTCATTGAAAATTATAAAAATCTTTTGCACACCTGCCTTAATTGGATTTTATTTTTGTAAAACAAAATAAAAAAGGGGGGGTAAAAATTAATCAGTCAATCAATCATTTATTCAATCACTCAATCAATCAAGCTATATTTAATATTTCTCTTTTTTCCACCATTTACCGGAGCCTCTTCCATGCCACTTCTGTAATAAAGGTTTACTTGTTTACTTGTTTACTTGTTTACTTGTTTACTTGTTTACTTGTTTACTTGATGAATTATTCCCAGAGCTCCAGGTAGGAACATGAGGGGAATTTCTGTAGTATCATCTGGAGTTGTGATCCGGTCATCTTATAGAGGTCACGCTGTAGGGTCATAGCTCACTCCTCCTGGCACAAGCATATAGGTTAAAAGTCCGTCATATCGAGCAATTTTTTAAATGAATTCAGTGTCCTTGCTTCCTTTACTTCTGTTGGGAGTCTATATCATAAGTTAACAACTCTATTGGAGAAAAAATTTTGTCTCACATCAGTCCTAGATCTGTTAAGAATCAGGTTCTTGCAATAAGCTGTTGTGCGTGTTATTCGTTGTGCATTTAATCCTACTGTTCTGAACCATATACTGCTGTCTACCTGGTCAATTCCTGGCAATATCTTGTAGGTTTGGATGAGGTCATATCTTATTCTACGTTTTTCTAGAGACAATATTCCCAATTCTACAAGTTTTTCTTCATAATTTGCACCTTTCAGACCAGAAATCAAGTTTACTGCTCGTCTCTGTACTTTTTCCAATATTTCTATATCTGTAGCCGTCCAGGGTGTCCATGCTGGAATAGCGAATTCCAGATGGCATCTAATAAACTGAGTGTACAATTTGAGAAAAGTAATTCTATCCCTATACATGAATGCTCTTGAGACCTGACCTAACACCACAGATGCCCTGCGAGCTGCCTCTGCACATTGCTTTGAAGGTTTTAAATCATTGCTTATGACCACTTCAATATCTCGTTCTTCCTGAATTTCTTCTAAGGGTAAACCATTCATACTGTACATAAACCTATTATTGTTTCTACCAGTATGCAGAATCTTACACTTCTTGACATTAAATTCCATGCACCATTCTGTTGCCCATACAAGCAGCTTGTTCAGACAATCCTGTAGCACTTCCCTGTCCCTATCTGTACTAACTTTGTGACCTAGCTTGGTGTCATCAGCAAATTTGTTCATGATACTTATGAGCTCGGTGCAAGTGTCTAGATCGTTTATAAATATTATAAAGGCCAGTGGTCCAAGTACCGATCCTTGGGGCACCCCGGAGATTACTTCTGCCCAATCTGAAAAGCCTTCATTCAGGACTATTCTCTGCCTACGACCTGACAAGCATTCCGATATCCATCTTAGAACATCCCCTTGGATCCCATGTGCTTTCATTTTTGCTAAAAGTCTGAACTTGGGAACTTTGTCAAAAGCTTTAGAAAAGTCCAAATAAATAATATCTACGGGGTCTCCATTATCAACCATCTTTGTCACTTTCTCTAAGAATTCAAGAAGGTTGGTTGTGCAAGATTTATTCTTCATAAAGCCATGCTGGGAGGATTTAATGAGTTGATTTAACAACAAATGATTGACTATATTATCTCTGATAATCGACTCCATTAATTTACACGGGACCAATGTAAGTGAAACAGGCCTATAGTTCTCAGGATTACTCTTGGACCCTTTTTTAAAAATTGGTGTAACATTTGCAAGTTTCCAATCTCCAGGTAGTTGTCCCGTTGTCATTGATTTGTTGAAAATATTTGCTAGGGGCTTGGAGAGGATATCACCAAAATCTTTAAGAAAACGAGTTGATATATTATCAGGTCCTTTGGATGAGCTAGTTTTAAGTTTGGAAATTTTCTGTTTAACATCATTTTCTGAAAAATAAACATCGTTTATGGTGCTCATAAATGGGAGATTTTGACACTCAGGAATTATGTTTACATTCTCTCGGGAAAATACCTTACAAAAGGACTCATTCAGCACATTTGCAATACCCTTGTTGTCACTGATAACCTCAGATCCCACCTTTAAAGGTCCCACAGAGGCTCGAACTTTTGTTTTCAAATAGGAATTAAATGGTCGTTTATTACCGTTCAGAGCAATTTTCTGCTCAAATTTTCTCTTGTAATTTCTTACCGCTCCTTTACATTGGGTTTGTGTCTGCTTAAATCTATCCTTATTCTCCTGATTCCTATTCTGCATATATGCATTATAATGTTGCTGTTTCAGTCTTGTTAGTCTCATAACATTTTTTGTCATCCATTGCGGTCGCTTGTTGCTTCATTGTTGGATTTTAGGTATAAATAAATCTGTACCTGTTTGAGTTTTATCTTTAAAATAAACCCAAGCTTCCTCAACATTTCTCCGATCTAGCTCCCTGGTCCAATCAGCCATTTTTAGATAATCAGCCAACCCCACGACATCCCCATTTTTCCAGTCACTTCTCAGCTCAGTAGACTTATTAAATCTAGAATTAAATACAACATCCACCATGATAGTTGAATGATCACTATTTGCCAGATTACCCAGACTTTCAATATTTTGAATTCTATCTGGGTGATTTGTAAATAATAAATCCAGGACATTGCCGCGTATATGAGTTTGGAAGTCAATCATTTGTTCAAACATATTCTCTTTCGTAGACTTGAGGAAATTTCGGCCTTTTCTATATGCAGTCTCATATGTCCAATCAATAGAGGGAAAATTTAAATCTCCAATAAATATAGAATTTCCTCCTGCATTTTCAAATAATTTACACAACTCCTGAGTATTTATATCATGTGCACTAGGCGGTCAACATGAGAGTAATATTTAGACTCGAATTCTTGTTGTCTTCTTTCAAAACTTCAAACTGAACAAACTGATTAAAATCATTCCTTATAGATAAGGGTTTGATTACAAGTCTATCTTTAGCATACACAATTAATCCACCACTGATTCCATTAAATGTATCTCTGCGATCAAATCTTAAATCTGGGACAGGTTGGAGTTCACCTCATCTTCCTCTTTGTCCTCCCCCTCTCCCCCCTCCTCGTCTGATGGCGGGAGTTCTGATCTCTTGTCCTTCTCTATCTCCAGGTTTGGTGCTATCATCTCCTCCTCCATTGAAACTTCCATTGGTAGCAGTACAGCAGGGGAGCTGTCAGTCAGAGATGTCCGTCTCGGATTCTGAACTTGAGGAATTTCTCCCGGCCTTCTTCTGTCTATTGGATTTGTAGTCCTCTCTGTAGTTGTTGCTGAGGTTGTTGGTTGCACAGTTAAGTTTGTTGTATTGGAGATGGTACTGGTTCTCCCTTTGTTGTGTTGAATTCTCGTAGAATTTGCACCAGTCAGGTAGTTTAATCCTCTGGAATTATCAGTTCCATATCTTGAGTTTCTAACATCATTCATTCTCATCTCACCACCCCCGGCCTCTCCTCGCCAACCCCATCCCCCTCTTACCCTTACATGTCTTCCTTGACCATCATGATGGAAAATCTTCTTTCGCTTAATTAATTCTCTCACCACGCATTCCCACAAGGACTCACTCCCACATCTGTGATTCATCAGAATTCATCTCAGAATTTCTTTTCTCCACAGTTTTAAGGAGTTTCTCCTCTTCCTTGCGTTGTTGTGCTGTTAGATCAGGAATTATGCTTATGTGATTCCAAGATGACCCCGCTAATTTACGGGAGTTCACCAGAATATAATCTCGCTCCAATATCCTTTAAACACAGGATTACTTTACGTGGTCTGCCAGACTCTGACCTTTCTCCCGGTCTATAGATAAACTTGATACCATCCTTTGTAGTTGGGCATAATAGAAAATCAAATATCTCTATTACCTTTTTCACGTCATGATCTAGTAAGTAAAGAGTTTTATAAACTAAGATGTTTTTTTAACCTTTTCAATTTATTTATTTATAATGTATTTAATGCAGAATGCAGATACTCATTTTTCCAATCTTCTTGTTTCCTAGCTGTCCTGTTTTGCTCATTCAATTAGCTGCATACCCCCGCCCCCCCAGGAGGGTTAATATGCAGTTTCGAGAGCTGATCAGGCAATTTGTAGTATTTCAATATCAGCTCTTGAGTTTCTATATTTATTCCAGTTGTATTTGAAATCGGCCATCTATGCAGGTTTATTGCTGACATTGTTGTAATGAGAACTTCCCTTTGTCAGCTGCATTACATGTATCAGTGTCTTGCAGTAAGTTAGAAAGAAATTAAAAGACCTCCTAGCCTTAACTGCATTCGGCTAGGTGATTTGGGTGTACCCCCTAGGAAAGAAACACCCATGATACCAATGATGATCTCTCTCAGAAAGTTTTGATTAAGATTCCACAGCAAAGCAGTTTCCGAGTTCCACTATATCTGCTCATGAAGTAGGATAAGGTTGGAATTTAGGAGGTAGGCGGATGAGGATGGGGGTGTAAGGGTAACAGGTATGAGATATACCATAGTCCTCACTTTTAACGTGTATTCCCACGTGGACAGATTTTTTAAAGAAAAAATAACCCGCTAAGCATGCTGTCCCATCGCTGTAAAATACGGGGAGTGTGTCTTTTGCCTATCATTGTCTGAGGTCTTCCATGAGTAATCCAGTTTCCATTTTGAGAAGGGTGAATAACCAGTTTATGGTATTTGATTTAAAGTCTATTTAAGGCTCTGTTCCCCCTTAAAACCTGTATCAGCGTGTACTTCATCCATGATGTTTTGAGTTTCTGTATTCCTTCTGTATTCATCTTTATTACTATATCTTGTTCAGGATTAGTCACGCTTTCCACTCAGTTGTGGAGAGAAGTGACCTTGATATCTAGACTTCTATACAAGTACAACGCCCATAGCGCCCTTTCTCTCAACAGGCTTAGAAAGCTCTGCTGACACCCTTCCTCTGCAAGGTTCGGATACACACTGATAAACTAAGATGAAATTAACTGAAGAAATTCATTTAAAAGCATATGTTATCATATTTTCCCAGTTTTTAGTAGTTTTGACATTTTCTAGATTCATGGGTTCAGTTTTCATCGAAAAAAAAACTGAACTGAATCCATGAATCTTAAAAAATTTGAAAACTATTAACAAACTAGGAAAATATGATAAAATAAGTTTTTAAATGAATTTCTTCAGTTAATTACATCATTGTTTATAAAACTGGTTACTTACCTTTATTACAGAAGTGGTGGGGGAGAGGTTCCGGTTAATGGTGGGAAGTAAAGAGAAATATTAAATATAGCTTGATTGATTGATAGAGCAATTGAATAAATGAATGATTGATTAACTGATTGAAAATCCAATTAAGGCAGGTGTGCAAAAAAATAGAATTTTTGTTGAAAAATTAATATATGAATCGAGAAAACCTTACAGCGTCATAACAAACTTTATGTAAAGGCGTGCCCCTGGGCCATTGGAGGAGGTAACGAGGGGGTCAGCCACCAACTACCCCTTCTGGCCAGGGGGGTTTGCTGCCCCCGACCTCCGTCTTCCAGATCTGGAGGAATCAATTCAAGATTTTTCCACTCTTCTCTCCGTTCCTCCAGGAATTCATTCATACTAGATATTTTACTAAAGGGAGTGTTCACGAAAAATGATTGGAGGTGAAGACTTAACTCAATTTTCTCATTTCTCAAACATCAGTTTAAAATATGATTGAAACCATTCGATTCCAAATTCAAATCGGGTTTAGTCAATATTCATCCTTAAATTTTTCGCAAAGACTCCCTTTAAAAACTATAATTCCATATCCTTTCTTCAAACAAATTTTTTATTAAACATGCAGATTTGGATGTTGTTGAAAATATTGGATATTTAACTAGAAAATTAACGTATTTGGGGGGAAATAAATCTGCAAGATAAACTTCTGAAGTGTGTGTGAGTTTGGGTGTGTGTGTGTGTGTGTTGGGGGGGGAGGTAATCCTCATCAACGTTCAATATATTTGGGAAAATAATGACTTTTTAAGATCTAGAGAACTTAATTAACAAATCTTGATATTATTCAAGTATGGATTCCTAGTATAAAAGATTGATTTGAGGATTTCAGTCTGGGATGGATTTCTCCGAGATTACGGCTCCAAAACCTCAACCCAGCTCTAAACTCCACTCTGAGCTTAGCTCAGAACCCATCCCGGATACATTGAACCTCGTTACAATTCTTAATTCAGGTTTGTTTCAACTGTAATAGTTATAAAACTGTTTTTATTCTCATTTTATTTAACCATTGTTATTCTTAAACCTTGGGATTGTGAACCCATATATATATATAAAGTAGTAATCTCTGTTTGTTTTTATGTATGATCATAACTTATGAACCTTTCGACCGATTTGCCTCAAATTTTGGGGAACTCGGGAGAACCAGGGGAATGTTCTGTGAGAGATTCCAAGCTTAGTGGGTTTACTTTTTTAGGGAAAAATTGTTAATATAGTAATCTACGACTAAGCTGATTTTGCTTAAAGGGACAAAAGACTTTTCAACTAACCATTATCTAACATATGATTTATAAAGAACGATCTCAATCGTTCCCTGAACAGCTTTATAGTATCAACTACTGCTATAAAAATATGGAAGATATTTTCAAAAATAGTGCTTTTAAAGTTAGAAAACGACGTTATCTTCTACATAATTGATCAAAGCTGGGAACTTTAGAATGGATAACCTTGAATCCCAACTACTTAATCCGAATATCCACTGTGGAAACTTTTAATTTTAGTCCTTAATCCTGATATATCCGCCATTCTAAAGTTCCCAGCTCAGATAAAGGCTTGAAAAACGTTGTAGTAAATCTGTGATGCTTCTCAACAATTAAAGGGTCCTTTGAAATTACGTTACAATCCCTTTAATTTTGTTGTGTAGACAATGATATTCTCGGAGACTGGGTGGAGGTGGATGAGAAGAAGGGAAAGGAAGGAAAGAAGAAAGATGATCTTGGACTTGATCTTGATTTAGATCTCCAGCTTTCAGGTAGAAAGATTGATAGATAGATATATAGATATAAGGAAGATGATCTTGGACTTGACCTTGTTTTGATCTCAAGCTTTCAGGTAAATAGATTATATATAGAAGGAAGATGATCTTGGACTTGATCTTGATTTAGATCTCAAGCTTTCAGGTAAATAGATAGATAGATAGATATATAGATAGAAGGAAGATGATCTTGGACTTGATCTTGATTTAGATCTCAAGCTTTCAGGTAAATAGATAGATAGATAGAAGGAAGGAAGGATAGAAGAAAGATGATCTTGGACTTGATCTTGATTTAGATTTCCAACTAACAGATAGATTGATAGATAGATCGATAGATAGATCGATAGATAGATCGATAGATAGATAGATAGATAGATAGATAGATCATAAATGATTATGATTATATTCTTTTTTAGACTCTGTTGTAATTAAAACTGACAAACAGTCGACAGTAGTTCAGAAGTCGACAAGATGGGCCGAGATGCTCGATTCAGAGGCGACAATTCCAGGTTAAATATTAAATATTCGACTAAGTCTTAATTTCTTAATTTATTGCTAGGCGGGTTAAAATAATCATAGCCGGGAGGAAATTTTTGTAGTAGGGATATAATATTTTCTTATTCTAGATTTCCATCAATTGGTTCCGCAGATGGCGTACCAGTGGCCCTTCGAGTTGGATACTTTTCAGAAACAGGCGGTGCTTAAACTAGAACAGGTTAGATCCCCGACCTTGCTCACCTTAAAAAAATTGTAGAATCAATTAGGGGTCCCACCAGGGAGTAAGGAATAGAAGGAGATATAACTGACGCGGTTCGCCATACCATATGATTATACAATATACATGCTTTGCAGACGGTACTCCATTTGTATTAGAAATATTCAGAAAAGGTTATTGTATACGCAGTACATCAGACAAATACTTCTTATTCAAATGAAGTACCGTCTGCAAAGCATCTATAATCATATGGTAGGGCGAACCACGTCAGTTTTATCTCCCTTCTATTTCTTACTCACTGGGATATATATTTTCTTGAAAAATCACCCCCCTTAAAAAGTTCATAATCACCTTTCCTACATCATATTATTTAGGAGTTATTTCTCGCTAAATTTGAGTAAAAGAATTGTCGAATATATAGTATAAAAAAGAGAAATAATCTTGACTTAGATATTTCCATGGAAACCAAACCATGGTTCTTTACAAGGTAATTTCAAGTAACTCTTAATGCACAGATGACAATACCCGATCCGTATCCGTACTCTTAAAAGCTTTGTCTGATGAATTAGATATCTATGTTTTTGTTTACAAGAACGGTTTATTTTCATTTTTGGTTTCTTTGCATTTCTTGTTTTTTGGAAACAATGTAGAAATCCACAGAAATAACTACTCGACGATATGCTTCAGATTTTATTCCAGATATCAAATAAAAGCTTCAAGGGTCCCGTTGTAAATCCGTCAATTCCATTTTTGCATAGAGGATCACGGAAAATTGTGCATGTCTCCTTAAGTTATGTTTTTTTTTATGTAGAAATTACTTCAGAGATATTCAAATTCGTTTTAAAATGTAAGTTTCAGTTTTGAAGTATTTTTTATAGATTAAAACAGACTATAGTTGATCAATTTAGGCGGAGAGTGTGTTTGTTGCGGCGCATACTTCCGCCGGTAAAACCGTTGTGGCGGAGTATGCCATTGCGTTGAGTCAGAAGCATATGACAAGGTAAGGGGATAATCTTGTAATTATTTTGCTGTTGTTAAGCACCTGTTGTCGATGAATTTTCAAAGCTGCAGAGCAGATTGATTTCAATGTGACATTATGACATTGATTGATCAATCAAATTTTCTTGCATTTTCCCCTGCATTTATTTTTGTATATACAGGGTGACCAAAATGTACAGATTGTACGGATTTGTTTCTATTAATTCTAAAATTGTACGGATTGTACGAGGGGAGGGGGGAGTGCAGAAGTAAACAAACGCCACCCAAACGTGTTTTGCGGCATGCGCGCTCCTTAATTGGTAATCAGAAATAAAAAGTTAACATTAAACCGATTATTTCTTAGATATAAGACCATATTGACTTCTGATGTTCAATATTGTTAATGTTTTCTTCATTGCTCCTCAGTTTCAAAAATAAATCTATAAGTACGCCACATGAAGCGCTAGAAAAAAATTACAAATCTTAGATCCAATTTGCCAATTTAATGACTGCATTTCATGATTGGAGTTAAGATACAAAAAGGTCTGACTGCCTGTTTACTAAAAATTACCTCACCCCACCCAAAGCAATATCTATCTCCATTTAGAAGATATTTTCAAAAAACCTTTACAGTGTTTAGATTTTTGTATCACTTTTTTTGCATTCGAGTTTTTTAGAAAGCTTAAACAAAGAAGGAAACCCATCCCAAAGAAGTGAAGTGAAAGACTAAATGCCATAATTATAGATTTTTAAATTTTAAATGTTTACTTATCCTATTTCTCCACTCATTATCATCCAAATTTACTTGATTCTATTCTGAACCTATTTACTTGTTTCTCCTCCCATTCTGATCCTAATTTACTTGTTTCTCCTTCCATTCTGATCCTAATTTACTTGTTTCTCCTCCCATTCTATCCTAATTTACTTGTTTCTCCTCCTATTCTCATCCTAATTTACTTGTTTCTCCTCCTATTTTCATCCTAATTTACTTGTTTCTCCTCTCATTCTCACCCTAATTTAAACTTGTTTCTCCTCTCATTCTCATCCTAATTTACTTGTTTCTCCTCTCATTCTCATCTTTTTTCAAAAATGGGATTTTTTCGAAAATTGTACTGATTGTACAGATTTTTTAAAAAAATGTACGGATTTTAAAAAAATGTACGGATTGGTTTAAAAAAATGTACGGATTGTACGGATTTTTAAAAAAAAATTGTACGGATTGTACGGATTGTTTTTCGAAAATTGTACGGATTGTACGGATTTCTTCTGAAAATGTACGGATTTTTGTACGGACGTGTTTAAAAAAAGTTTTGGCCACCCTGTAGATTGTACGGAATTGTTTCCCGAAAATGTAGGGATTGAACGGATTTGTTCTGAAAATGTAGGGATTGAACGGATTTGTTCTGAAAACGTACGGATTTTTGTACGGATTTTTTCAAAAAAGTTTTGTCCACCCTGTAAGTGTGCTTGAATTATGGACCCTGACGCCGAATTTAAAGAATTTGAGCCGCGGCTTAAATTTAAGCCACGCCTCAAATATGGTTGGTTCCACTTAAAATCGTATTCATTGTTTCAAGATTTAAGCCGGGGCTGAATTGAAACCGGTTCTTTAAGACGTGGCTCAAATTAATAGAATTCGGACACTGGGCCAGGGGGCTGAAACGTCATGTGTGTGTGTCTGTACCAAAAGAGTGTGTGTAAAGATTACCGTACCGAAGGTGTGTACTGTAGATATATACAGTACATACGAATCTCGGTATTTGTACAGTCTAGGAGAGTACATTTGTTTATTGTTAATTGTTTACATAAAGATAAGTTTGATATATATCTATATATAAATTTGTCTTGTCTGTCTGTTTGTTTGTCTGTTTTTCTGTCTTGTTTGTTTGTATCCAATAAACGTCAGAACGGCTGAACCGATCGGGCCCAAATTTTTTGTGGGACATCACGTGACCACAGGGAAGTTTTATGAATGATAAAAATAAAAATAAAAATGTCTTTTAAAGGTTTTTTAATTTTGTAAACAAATTTAAATTCTTAAAAATTCGCAAATTTTTTTTAAAAATCCGCAAAATATTTTGTTTTGTTTTGATATGTAATCAAAAAGAACATGTTCACACTTTAAATAGAAGATGGGCGCGAAGGGCCTTGAATTTCTAGTGTAGTATATTATTTATATATTTAAGTCAACACTATAAGCCAAATTTTAACGCAAAGAATATAACTTAATTAAAGTTTACAATAAATATAGTCGTTATTCAAGCTTAATTATTATTGACAACATTGTTCTGCAATTTCCTTGACTGTAATCATGTTGTGTGTCTGTACCAAAAGAGTATGTGTAAGGATTACCGTACTGGTCTGCAAAGCAGTGCGACTGGCTTTCTCATGCCAGACCAGCGCCATTTCCTTTCCCTTTATTCCTATTCTCTGCACTGTGCATGTTAATTTATTTGTCTTAATTTCTTCCTTTATTTAGGACTATTTACACTTCTCCCATCAAAGCTCTATCAAATCAGAAGTTTCGAGATTTTAAGGTAATACACGATTATATATTATATAATTCCCCCTACCCTCTCCTCTATCCTCTTTCTTCATCCTCTCCCCTCCTATCCTCCTTCTCCTCCCTCTCCTCCCCTCCTATCCCTCTTCTTAATCCTCTCCATCCCTCTTCTTCGTCCTCACCCCTCCTATCCCTCTTCTTCATCCTCTACCCTCCAATCCTCTTTCTTCGTCCTCTCCCCTCCTATCCCTCTTCTTCATCCTCCTAACCTACCTTTTCGTTATAAATCGTTTTTGTTGTCTTTTTTAATTTAACAAGCCTTTTTGACTGAATTTAAGTCTTCATGGGAAATTTTATGTTTTTGAAGAGAAAATTAAGATTTTAGGGGTTTTCATTTTGAATAGATAAAATGGTTTTAACAAGCGAAGGCAAAAGAAAATTTTCCTAAGGTTTAAAAATCAATCCCTGAGATTAAAAAGTGTTTTTTGTTTAACAGGTTTTCGGTTGATATTTTGCCCCTTGCATCGAGGAACCGGATCCTAAGGACTGGTTTATAGACCTTCCCCCCAACCCCCTTCTCCCCCCACCAAATAGGTTGTCAAGTACAATAGATGGCAACAGAAAAATCGACCAACTGCGCACAACGTCATATGTGTCAAATGAAAAAAGAAAGACATGTCCTCAATTAGTTTGTATGATTTCCAAGATTCGGTGGAGATAAATGTCGTCTTTGTAGGAATACGTAAAAAATATTTACAACTCAAAATTAGATAGAGTATTTTTACTGTATAGGTTGTCAAGTACAATAGATGGCAACAGAAAAATCGACCAACTGCGCACAACGTCATATGTGTCAAATGAAAAAAGAAAGACGACATGTCCCTCAATTAGTTTGTATGATTTCCAAGATTCGGTGGAGATAAATGTCGTCTTTGTTGGAATACGTAAAATATTTACAACTCAAAATTAGATAGAGTATTTTTACTGTCGTTTGTTGGCTTAATTTTTTTTTCATTGTATATATCTATGTAAACTAAATAGTCTGAGGGAGGGGGGGGCGTCCAGGCCACATCCCTCTAAGTACCATTAAAGTAAATATTTCTAGGGTTATTATAGGTTTACTGTTCAATTTCTAAAGCCAGCTAATTTAAAAAAAAAATTAGACTTATAACTTTTCGAAACACTCATACTATATACGAATTTTACAAAAAATCATTTGGATTACCTTGTTTTAAAAGTGACGTAGTTTTGGTGGGTTAAACAATGACTTACGTATACACATAATATCATCATACACAACAACAGCAACAAAAAAACAATAATAAAAATACAAAAATATTTTTAACTATTTATTAAAGCATAAAACAAAAAGGTTGATAATGGAGATCTTGGTTTACAGTTATTGATGGGATTGCAGAGGATAAGAGAAATTTCCTTGAAGGGAAGATTTTTGGAAGTTTCGAAAAAGTCCTCAAATTTGGCTTAAAATCAGACTTAGCAAAATGAAGAGCACACACTCTGCTATCTCCGATTTCATTAGTGTTGTCAATTTTCAAAGAATTCAGCCACAATTCCTGCTTCTTTTTGTTCTTTGGAAATTAAAATCTGGATGTCCCCGGGGGTGGACGGCATCCAGGCACAAAACAAGTTCTTCTCCTGCCCCCTAAATGAATAAATATAATCAATGAAGACCAAAAAATATCATAATGTAATGTTGACTTAGTATGTGTTCATAGTATACCTTTAAAGTACCCCCCCCCCCCTCACCTTGATGGATTTAAAATAAATGAAATAAATCCGTCGTTTTTTATCAAAACAAATCACACAGACATTCATATTGCGAAATTTAAATATAATATACACGTTGTCTCACAAAACACTTTGCAGATCCAAAATTTTGGCTGTAACATATAACTTACATAAAATGTACGAAAATTTGTGAATTTTTTGGTTATTTATGAACAAATGAATATATGTAAAAAATCAAAATTTGAAAAATCTGGGAAATCGATTTTTCGGCTCATGCTACATAATTAAAGAAGTGATTGTAACATTAAAAGAATGCCTGGAAATAACTGAAATATCGAGATTTCTAATGTTAACATGATTGTGAACATTTAATCAAAATTGTTGCCTCAGTACCCAATACCCCTACTCTAAATTTTTGTTTGGGGCACCCTGTTAATAATATATATCTACATAGACTTTCCAATAATTTCATAAATAAATTGCTTTTGAAAAATTTATATATTTCTTACATGTTCCCAAAAATAATAAAATACGACATTTGAGAAAAAAATTAAATATTCTTAGAAGACGACATTTCATTAGAAAATTACAGTTTCTTGTTGCCTGTATTTCCCCCGGATCTGGGGGTTTATCCACGATTAGACCTTTCCAGAGCACTTCTCCAAAGATATCATTAAACATTTCTGAAATATGTTTTAACGTTATACTTTCGAATTACAATATTAAAGGGTTATGTACAAAATCAGTTTCAACCCCGTTATTTAATCTATAGAACGTTAAATGAAAAATCGTAAAAACAGAAATAAAGAACATATAAAATTGCACTAATTTCACTAAAAGATAAGCATTTTAGTCTAAAAATATCACTTTTATTTATAGTTTTGTAAGACAGAAAATTTGAGTTGACACTTATGACGTTTAAACAGCTGTACTGAAAGTGTACGCATTCTGTGTTGCCATCTATTGTACTTGACAACCTATTTGCCCCCCACAATATTTGAAAATATCTTTTCTTGTACTGGAATTATTTATCTAGGATACTTTTAACGATGTTGGACTGGTAACTGGTGATATACAAATCAACCCTGCCGCTACTTGCCTCATCATGACAACTGAGATTCTTAGGTAATTAACATCGTAAGTTTTTTTTAAATCCTCCCCACCACCTTTTCAAAATTGATTTGTTTTCACCCACTGGTTAAGTCTGTTTACGCGGAGCGGAAAAATAGTTTATGGGGTTTAATTGCGGTATTTGGTGAAAATTAATTATTTTTAGGAGAAACTAAATAAATTTTAGGGTAAAATTAAACTAATTTGATGGTAAATATTTTTTCTCGAAGAATTACTGTCCAATCTTTTTTCCCTAGACCCAAACATCCAAATCACCTCTTGTTATCAAGATGCAAATTTTCAAAACCCTGCTTAAATACTTTTTTAGATTAAGATAAAAATAAACATATAAAATAAAACATATTTGAATGTTCTGATTAAAATTGACTTACTAGGTCATTGTTGTATAACGGGAGCGATATTATTCGAGATTTAGAGTGGGTCATTTTCGACGAGGTAACTTAAATAAAAAATAAAAAATATTTTTAAGCTAGTTTAATTGTTACGTGAAAAATAATACAATAAATTAATGATTTTTATTAAAGCGGGTAATCGGGATTTGAGATTATGCAAACTATACTTAAATGTTGAGATTTCTAGGTTTAATGAAACTTCCAAACATATTGGCAGACTCAAGGGCTTAAACTTTCTAACATATTTCGATTTCTAGAAAAGAAGTTCCCATTATATTGGGATTTCTACGCAAACCTTACCAACATATTGGGATTTCTAGGCAATCATTCCTATATTGGGATTTTTAGACAAACCTTCCCAACAAATTGGGATCTCTAGACAAACCTTCCAACCGTATTATTATATATATGTAGAGTAAAAAAAGTAGATGTTAGCTCCACATTTTATTGAAAATATATTTCGGTTTGTGTTGACCCTCATCCCTTTCTATTCACTTTTTAAAGAAGTTTTAAGACAATTATTATTCCTTGAGATTGTTTTTATTTAAAATATTGGTAAGGGTCGACAATGGACATATTGGGATTTCTAGGCAAAACTTCGAACATATTCGGATATCTAGGAACACCTAATAAAATATTGTGATTTTGCGGCAAACCTTCTCAACATTGAGATTACTATGTAAAAATTCCTAACATATTGTTATGCTTTAGGTTCACTATATCAATGACCCAGAGCGTGGAGTGGTGTGGGAAGAAGTTCTAATTCTTCTCCCCGAGCACGTGAATATCATCATGCTGTCTGCTACTGTACCAAATACATTGGAGTTTGCAGACTGGGTAGGAAGGTAGATAATTTTATATCACAGGTTCGTGCCTACTAAAACAGTTTGATGCCTTTTTGTGCTACCATGAAAATCCGCCAAATAGAATATAAAATCGGGGTTTTCAACTCAACTCTGTGGAAAATAAGATGCAGCTTGAATCCGAAACCTCAAGCCGTTAATTAGGCCCAACGACAGCTTAGACCTGAATCGTATCTTCCAGAGGTTTTGAAATCGCGCTTAGAGCATTTTATTGTGGTGCTATTTTGGACTAAAAACTGTATGTTTTTTTTTAATTTTATTTAATATATCTTGATGTTTTGTAGAAATTATACAAAAAAAGTGTTATTAAAATCTAGAGAAATAAGATTAAAATATTTAAAAGTTTACATGGAATGTATTTTGCTTTATGAATCTGGAATCGTGTGCAAATTAATTTCATAGGTTCTAAAGAATTTGAAATTAAAACTTGTTGTCGAAACATTAATCACTTACACTGCTTTCTTCATTAGTGTTCTTGTTAAATTAAATTTTATTTAGGACAAAAAAGAAGAAAATCTGGGTTATTTCAACAGCAAAAAGGCCAGTCCCACTTGAACACTTCCTGTACACTGGTAAATATATTTATAAAATGTACATTTTGCAAAAAATCCACGAGTTTTAAATAATTACGCATTTTGCTATTTTGTAATAAGATTTTCATACGTTCGATCGATTCTCTGATATCCAGTTTCAAGATGATCCCACAAGTTGATGTCCATTATGTGTTTTGGAGNTTTTTAATTGATTGAACAATTGAATGAACTATAATGATTGATTAACTGATTGTGACTGATTGATTGATTGATTTGCGTCTTGGATCAAGTGGTAGAGTCGGGATGAAAGATTTCTGCTCAAGAATGCTGCCGGCAACTGATTGTTTTATTGATTTATGGATGGATTGATTGATTTGATTTGATTAATTGATTGATTGATTGATTGATTGATTGATTGATTGATTGATTGATTGATTGATTGATTGATTGATTGATGTCTAAGTCTAGTGGAAAGACTTATAATTGTAGACTCCTTCTCCAAGATGCTCCCGGCAACTGATTGATTGATTGTTTGATTGATTGATTGATTGATTGATTGATTGATAGATTGATGTCTAAGTCTAGTGGGAAGACTTATGATTGTAGACTCCTTCTCCAGAATGCTGCCGGCAACTGATTGATTGATTGATTAATTGATTGATTTATGTCTAGGTTTAAGTGGGAAGAGTTGGGATGAAAGATTCCTTCTCCAGAGATAGGAACTTTAGATTGGGATACCCTGAATCCTGATCGCTTAATCTGAATATCCACTGTGGAAACTTTCTTTTTAATCCGCTCTTGTTGGATATAACATTTCCTACTACTGTAATAAAGAAACCTTTGATTGCAATTAAAGATATGATGCTATATCGGTAGAACTAATATACGATTGAACTAACGTCAGCTGTTCTTAAGTCGGCTTTAAGATCAATTAAACAAATATGAATTTAATCATGTTAACATAAACATTAATCCTAAACTTACATGCGTTCAATTGACCATTAGTCCAATTGATAAGACACCACAAATGCGGGAAAAATTTAAACCGGTTTTTTAAAAACTTAGAGAGTGCATCTCTAATCTGTAGAAATTAATCTAAAGACTAAATAAGTCTGGAGATTAGTGAAAAGAGAGGATTAAGCATTGATCTTGATATCCACTATTCTAAAGTTTTCAGCTCAGGACGCTGCCAGCAACTGATCGATAGATAGATTGATTGATTGATTGATTGATTGATTGATTGATTGATTGATTGATTGACTGATTGACTGATGTCTAGGCTCAAGTGGGAAGAGTCGGGATGAAAGATTCCTGCTCCAGGATGCTGCTGGCAACTTTTTACAGAAGGGTTACACAAAGGCGGTAGAGGCAAAGAAGGAGAGAGAAGCCAAGGTACAGAAGACGCTGACAGACATTTTTAGAAAAATGAAAATGCGATACGATTTTTTTTTCAAAATCTCATTGAAGATTAAATAAATATTTTGACTTGCATTCTTGTTTCCTAACAATCTTTATTTTTCCTGACAATGTTGTAATATTCATTTCATTTACTAATTGAAAGATTGAATGATTGATTGAATCGGTTGATTGATTTTTTAATTGATTGAACAATTGAATGAACTATAATGATTGATTAACTGATTGTGACTGATTGATTGATAGAATCGAACGATTATTTGATTGAATTGTTACCAATTAATTTATAAGGGTAAACAGCAGACTGGTAGTAAAGGAGTGAAGGACCGAGTTGGTCCCCAGCAGGAGCGGAATATCTGGTTAACTCTCATAGATCATCTTCAGCGACAAGACAAGCTTCCTGTAGTAGCATTCACTCTCAGTAGGTCAAGGTAGGTCAATACTAGTTTCCTGTAGTAGCATTTACCCTCAGTAGGTCAAGACAAGCTGCCTATAGTAGCATTTACCCTCAGTAGGTCATGGTAGGACAAGACAAGCTGCCTATAGTAGCATTAACTCTTAGTAGGTCAAGGTAGGACAGGACAAGCTGCCTATAGTAGCATTTACCCTCAGTAGGTCAAGGTAGGTCAAGATAAGCTGTCTATAGTAGCATTCACTCTTAGTAGGTCAAGGTAGGACAAGACAAGCTGCCTATAGTAGCATTTACCCTCAGTAGGTCAAGACAAGCTTCCTATAGTAGCATTTACCCTCAGTAGGTCATGGTAGGACAAGACAAGCTGCCTATAGAAGCATTTACCCTCAGTAGGTCATGGTAGGACAAGACAGCTGCCTATAGTAGCATTTACCCTCAGTAGGTCAAGGTAAGACAAGACAAGCTTCCTGAAGAAGCATTCTTCCTTAGTAGGTCATAGTAGGTCAATACTAGCTTCCTGTTGCAGCATTCACCCTTAGTAGGTCATGGTAGGTCAATACTAGCTTCCTGTTGTAGCATTTACCCTCAGTAGGTCATGGTAGGACAAGACAAGCTTCCTGTTGTAGCATTCACCCTTAGTAGGTCAATACTAGCTTCCTGTTGTAGCATTCACCCTCATTGGCTTTTTTCTTTAGATCTCATGACAATCTGAGTCCTGAGATAAAAATTGGTAACATTTAAGACTAGTTTGGTAACTCAGCTCTGTCTGGAAATTTGAATTTTAAACCAAGCTAGAAATATTTTCCTTCGGCTCTATCGAGGTCTCCAATTTAAATTTAAGGCAACTTGGTCAAGAGGTTAATAAGTTATTTTCGGACATCCAAACAGAGAAACATATAGAGATTACTTACTTTACATTAATAATGTAGATGTGATCAGAACGCGAATATACTGACGAGTCTGGATTTAACAACAAATATGGAGAAAGGAGATATCCATCATTTTATCAATAAATGTGTTTCAAGACTCAAGGGGCCGGATAGAAAACTCCCTCAAGTAAGAATTCGAGATTTTTTTCTTTATTTTTCTTGTTATGTTCTTTTCCTGGTTCGTCTGGTTATTGTTCCTTATGTTAATATGTCTTTGAGCCTTTGCTAAACTTTTCTTGTCATATTATGGTCATGTCATGTTCTATACATGTCCTATTCTTGTCCTGTCCTGTTCCAGTCATTATGTTCTTGTCTCTCTATTTGTCCTGGTCTTTCTCCTGTCCCGTTTTCTTTCTCTTATTATTGCTATTATTATTATTAATATTATTATTATTATTATTATTATTATTGTTATTATTATTATTATTATTATTATTATTATTTCTTTGTCAAGATGATTCTCCCATTTCCCCGCACCCATTTTCTAGGCTACGGTTTTGATTATCATTTAAGGGACTGTTGTGAATCAGATATGCCACTTGATATAAAGAGGGTCACTTGAAATGTCATTTACGGTCCCTTTAAAAAATAATATTATGTACTAGTTCTATAATAATATTATGTACTATGTTAATATTATGTACTAGTTATAAAATAATATTATTTAAGATAAGATAAGATAAGATAAAGTTTATTGCTAAAATAAATGTATCTGTATACAGATAGAGTTTACAATTATAATATTATGTATTAGTTATCAAATAATATTATGTACTAGTTATAAAATAATATTATGTAATAGTTATAAAATAATATTATGTACTAGTTATAAAATAATATTATGTACTAGTTATAAAATAATATTATGTAGTAGTTATCAAATAATATTATGCACTAGTTATCAAATGATATTAAATGGTGTGTAGGTAGTTTGATATTAAATGTTGTGTAGGAAGTGGTGGAGTGCTATTATGTACTAGTTAGCAAATAATATTATGCACTAGTTATCAAATAATATTAAATGGTGTGTAGGTAGTTTGATATTAAATGTTGTGTAGGCAGTGGTGGAGTGCTATTATGTACTAGTTATAAAATAATATTATGTACTAGTTATAAAATAATATTATGTACTAGTTATCAAATAATATTAAATGTTGTGTAGGTAGTGGGTGGGCTATTATGTACTAGTTACCAAAAAATATTATGCACTAGTTATCAAATATTATTATGCACTAGTTATCTAATAATATTAAATGGTGTGTAGGAAGTTTGATATTAAATGTTGTGTAGGAAGTGGTGCAGTGCTATTATGCACTAGTTATCAAATAATATTATGTACTAGTTATCAAATAATATTAAATGTTGTGTAGGAAGTGGTGGAGTGCAATTATGTACTAGTTAGCGAACAATATTATGCACAAGTTATCAAATAATATTAAATGGTGTGAAGGAAATGGTGGAGTGCTATTATGTACTAGATAGCAAATAATATTATGCACTAGTTATCAAATAGTATTAAATGTTGTGTAGGAAGTGGTTGATTGCTATTATGCACTAGTTAGCAAATAATATTAAATGTTGTGTAGGAAGTGGTGGAGTGCAATTATGTACTAGTTAGCAAATAATATTATGCACTAGTTATCAAGTAATATTAAATGGTGTGTAGGAAATGGTGGAGTGCTATTATGTACTAGTTAGCAAATAATCTTATGTACTAGTTATCAAATGATATTAAATGTTGTGTAGGAAGTGGTAGAGTGCTATTATGTACTAGTTATCAAATGATAATAAATGTTGTGTAGGAAGTGGTCGAGTGCTGTTTCGCGAACGGTTGGGTCAAACTTCTCTTTGCAACAGAAACATTCGCAATGGGAGTCAACATGCCGGCTAGGTATTAATTCTATAGACTCATTACTCATTAGATAGACAAGGGGTATTTATCCACAATCAGCGTAGCCTGAAACTAATGGTAAGAAAGCACTAAGTTGTTAATTTCAAATGAATTTTAGTAATAAGTTTTAATTTAAAATTATTAATTATCCATTTTGAAGTCTAGTACATTTTCTTAATTATTTTTAACTTTAATTGTTTGTATTCAGTCCTAAACCATAATATCTTCTTTGGTTCTTTCTAGCACTGAGTATATATATTCGTATATATTTTGATGAATTACTCCAATCCCCCCAGGAAATAAAAAAAAAACATAACTGGCAAGTGTTTAAGATGTTGCGGATACTTATCAGCTATCACTAAAGAAATCATTTGTTGACCCCAAAATAAGTTTTATTTCACATTTAAATGTTTCACAGTTAAAAAAACAACAAAAATATATCCTTTGATTTAAATTGTTTAGAACGGTTGTGTTCGACAATATCAAGAAGCATGATGGCAAGCAATTTCGAGTTTTACTTCCTGCCGAGTACATTCAGATGGCAGGCAGGGCAGGCAGAAGAGGACTTGACTCTACAGGTAGGATATTAATCTACTTCCTGCCGATTATATACAACTGGCAGGCAGAAGAGGACTGGACTCTACAGGTAGGATATTAATCTACTTCCTGCCGAGTATATACAGCTGGCAGGCAGAAAAGGACTGGACTCTAGGTAGGAAATTTATCTACTTCCTGCCCAGTATATACAGAGGACAGGCAGGGCAGGCAGAAAAGGATTGTACTCCACAGGTAGGAAATTACTCTACTTCCTGCTGAGTTTATAGTAACAGATGGCAGACAGGGCAGGCAGAAAAAAAACTTACTCCACAGGTAGGAAATTTATCTAATTCATGCCGAGTATATACAGATGGCAGACAGGGCAGGCAGAAAAGGACTGGACTCTACAGGTAGGAAATTTATATACTTCCTACCAAGCAGAGATTTCTTTGCTCAATTTCATGAACTGTACATTGTACTTTTATAGCTTTAATTAAAAGTTTCTATTAGCCTGGAAAATAGCTTCTGAAATGGAAGGGAGGGATGATTTATTAGCCTTCAGTTATACTGTAAGTACAATTGTTTAATGTTTAGGAACTGTGATAATCCTGTGTAAGAACGAGGTGTACGACATGAATGACCTTCACGGGATGATGAAAGGAAAACCTACGAGGCTAGAAAGCAAGTTTAGACTCACCTACTCAATGATACTAAATCTTCTCAGGTGAATTTCTCTTATTCCCTGCTCTGCTTCCCAAACTGTGTGATTTAAATGTGAAAAAAACGTCAATTATGTTAATTATGCTACGAGACTAGAAAGCAAGTTTAATGATACTTAATCTGTTGAGGTGAAATACTCTCATTAATATTTAAGAACAGTCAACTATATTTTACCTCTCTAGTTTCTGAGAACAATCAGTATGATTGTTAAATTCTGTCTTTAAACTTCTAGAATTTGGTTTAACAATGTTGTATATAGATCTTAAGTCACTTGGTAGAGAAAGAACAAATGACTGTCCAGAGTCTGAATTTAATGAATTTGAGCCGCGGCTCAAATCCGCCAAAAACCGGTTTTAATTAAGCGCCGACTTAGATCTTGAAACATTAAATACAATTTTAAGTGGAACCAACCATATTTGAGCTGCGGCTCTAATTCTTTAAATTCGGCCTCAGGAATCACATTTTTCAAAAGCTTTAGATATTTATTTCGAAATGACAGTTTATGTTTTCATAGTACATTAATATTTAATAACTTGCTACTACAATGCTAAACATGTTTTTTAATTATTCCTTCGTATTTTGATATAGGTTCTACATAGAAATAATAATAACATAAGACTAGGGTATTTTCAATATTTCATATTCAGATCCAGGTCATTAACATTTCTCTAAGATTTACTGATTTCTCTTTTGTATCCCTTCTCTTTGCTAATACTTAATGAATCATACAGAGATCAGGAAACTTTTCCAACAGTTTAGATCTGGGTTTTGAAAGTAAAAAAGTTTTTTTTCAGTTTTTGGTTGATATTTTGCCCTTGGATCCGGATCCAAGAAGCCAAAGTCTTGCAGATTTAACGCATCCGGATCCGATCCGAAGCACTGATATTCACATCAAAATTCTTTTCCCCAAAATAAACTTTTCTACTAGAATATTTTTTGTCCCTGAATTTTAACCAAAGTTAGTTATTTTTGGGTAAAATTAGTAAATTTTAAAGGAAAAAGTAATATTTCTCGCATTAAGAGATATTAAATACGTAATTTCAAGTCACCCTACGTTTATAAAGTGCATGGTGGCTTGTACAGTTCACATCTGTACCTTTTAAACCTCTGTCTGATCATAGATGAAATTAGTTTTTAAAATTCTTTTGTTTTGTCAGAGTTGAAGAGTTGAGAGTGGAGGATATGATGAAGCGCAGTTTTGCTGAACTGGATACACAGAAGAAACAGGGAAAACAATCATTCAATCAATCAACTAATCAATTAGCCAATCAATCAATCAACCAATGAATCAGCTGGTTAGTCAATAAATCAGCTGATTAGTCAATAAATCAGCTGAGCTTGGACCAAACATGGAAGTATGCTAAAACTTACGATGCTTTTATCTTTCCAAAATTATTTATTGAGTTATAATAACTTTAAGTTGTTATTGTCCTATTCAAACAACATGTTTTGTCAGTTTTCACTAAAAGACCCGGTCACTCACCTCAGATCTAAATTTCTATCTCTTATATCTTGGCAACCTGATGTCGCAGTATTCTTATATTTCTAGGCATACATTGTGAGTTATTTCTAGATCACAGAGTTTAAAATTTTTTACTGTCAGGTTGTAAAGATAAAAGAGTGTGTCGCAATCAGTTCCCTTGTCATTCATTTAACAAACATTTACTCTATTTCAAGATTTTTTGTGAGAAGTTAGAATTTATGTTTTCTGTGAAAAGGTCGCGTACAAGGACAGAGCCGAAGTACTGAAATCTGAACTTGAGACATTATCAGATATTTCCGGAGACGGATTTCAGGACGTTAAACTCTTTTATGCGCTAGCAACTCAATACCTAGAGAAAAGGTAAGTGTCTAAGCAGGGGCGTATATAGAAATATGTCCGGGGGGCGGGGGGTGCCCGGTGCAGTTGCTTCGGGACATCCAACTCTGTAAAGTCTGGAGTTGACTTTGTTTAGTCTCTTTAAAGCAGTGCTTGGGATCCATTTAATTTTGATGTGGATCCGTATCCTGGATCCTGGATCCGCACTGGAAAAAAATGGATCCGGATCCAGCCAGGTCATATCTTTAAGATTTACTAAAATTTTTTAACAAAAAATGATTGTCAAATTTTTTGTTTTATTTTTTTCGCTTATTTTTATTATAAAACTTGATGAACCATTCAGAAATGTCACGTAGTGTACATAATTACCTTATGAATTCAGGAATAGTATTTAAACTCTGCTGGAGTGTACACTATAACATTATGTTGAGATACAGTACTATGTACAGTAGAGTAGTCACGTAGTGTACATAATAACCTTATGAATTCAGGAATAGTATTTGGACCCTACTGCTCTCCCATCATACTCCTTGTAAAGCACTTTCCCCCGGCAGAATTATCCTCCTTAATCTCAGGTAAATGAAGTTCTGATACGACACAATTTATCCAATTATACATAAATTTTAAATAAAACTTGTATGGTCGAAATTACTGTATCTGTATACAGAGATATAAACACAGATGTTAATTTTTCTATAATTTGTCAATTGCCTTCATTTCATGTTAAAGTAACTTTTAAAATTTCATACATACATACCTAACCTTTTTTTCCCTCTCCACTTCCTAACCTTTTTTTCCCTCTCCACTTCCTAACCTTTTTTTCCCTCTCCACTTCCCAACCTTTTTTTCCTTCTCCACTTCCTAATGCTTTTTCCCTCTCCACTTCCCAACCTTTTTTTCCTTCTCAACTTTCTAACCTTTTCCCCTCTCCACTTCCTAATCTTTTTTCCCTCGCCACTTCCCAACCTTTTCCCCCTCTCTACTTCCTAACCTTTTCCCCTCTCCACTTCCCAACCTTTTTTCCCTCTCCACTTCCTTATCTTTTTTCCTTCTCCACTTTCTAACCTTTTTTCCCCTCCCAACTTCTTAACCTTTTTTTCCCTCTCCACTTCCTAACCTTTTTCCCCTCTCCACTTCCTAACCTTTTTTCCTTCTCCACTTCCTAACCTTTTTTCCCTCTCCACTTCCTAACCTTTTTTTCCCTCTCCACTTCCTAACCTTTTTTTCCCTCTTCACTTCCTAACCTTTTTTCCTTCTCCACTTTCTAATCTTTTTTCCCTCTCCACTTCCTAACCTTTTTTCCTTCTAGAGTTCCTAATCTTTTTTCCTCTCCACTTCCTAGCCTTTTTTCCCTCTCGACTTCCTAACCTTTTCCCCCTCTTAACTTCCTAACCTTTTTTCCTTCTCCACTTCCCAACCTTTTTTCCCTCTCCACTTCCTAACCTTTTTACCCAATCCACTTCTTAACCTTTTTTTTCCCTCTCCACTACCTAACCTTTTTTCCTTCTTCACTTATCTCTTTTTCCCTTTCCACTTCCTAACCTTTTTTCCCTCTCCACTTCCTAATCTTTTTTCCCTCTCCACTTCCTAACCTTTTTTCCTTCTCCACTTCCTAATCTTTTGAACATTTTTTAGATGTTCAAAAAGATTTATCTAAAAGAACAAATTTAATTACTTTGCATTATCTAAATAGCTGTATTCTGGATGTTATTTTTGTAGTTCAATATTTACTCTACAGATGTCTCTTCATGTAGCATGATCTTTGATTGGGGGTTTACTTCAGAATTGATGTTGAAGTAAACAAAGTTATTGTGGGTGTTTATCCTATACATTGTATACATCTGAGATTAGTTTTCACCACAATTATTGTTCCTTGCAGCATTTCTTCTAGTAGCAGTTAGCGAAAGCTACTCTATAGTCATGCACATGTGCCTAACTCACTTTAAAAAAAAAATATAAATGCAATTGTAAAATCTTTAAAAATAAATAATCGTTTTGTCAAAAAAAATTGTATTTTCTTTGGTTTTCCAGTTATCATTATCTTTCTTCCTCTACTTTTCCTCTAGTCCTTTTGATAGTGCGTAAGACGAGTAGCAAAAATTGTGTTAAGTGATAAAAAAGTTGTGAGCAGGGACATAAAATGAAATGTTTAAGAAAGGTAGTTAAAGTTGTGAGTAGGGATATAAAAAAAATCATGATTAAGACGGGTAGTTAAAGTTGTGAGCAGGGATATAAGATGAAATGTTTAGGCAGAATATTAATGTCCCTGGAGTACTGTTAGCTGTAGATAATAAGTCCAAGGAGAGACAGTACACTGTTCTCCTTCCACAGCCTATGGAGGTAAGTGAGTTGATAGATTGATTGATTGATTGATTGATGATTGATTGATTGATTGATTGTACACTTCTTTCCCCAACGTATGCAGGTAAGTGGGTTAATACAGTGGACCGATGAATTTTTTTAATTAATTAATCGTTGAATTATAAACATTCGTAAAAAATGATCAGATTTTTTCAAAGTTGCTTTTGTCTCTTTCAATAAATGTCTTAATTTTGTTTAATCTGCTTTATTAATGATTGTTCACCTGCTTTACTTTCTTGATTCACTTTATCGTAGTATATAAGGAATGATTGCGCTGAGCCTAACTTTAAGGTTCTTATTTCAAAATTGTGATAAAGAAATTATGTTGTTGGTAAAAACTTCCCATCTGAAGATAAATTTTTCACACTGGGGTCAGGGGGTTTCACCTTTGTTTGGTATTTCAATTTCAAGTTTGAATTGTTTTATTTAATTTTTAGTCTGTTGGTTTGAAGTGCCTAAGCCTAGATGATTCTGCGCTCTCGGAGGCGAAAGATAAATTAAAAACAAGATGTTTGTCTTTAGCAAGGAAATTAAAATAATTGATTTTTTTAAAATCTAATTTATTATTTGATTTAAAGTTGTAGTTCTTCAAAATTTATGTTTTTAAAGGCAGCATTGAGTAAAAACCTTTGGCTTTTGATAATTATTTTAATTGTAAGAAATCGATTAAAATGTTATTTTAAATTTAGAAGCGGCAAAACTCGTTATTTCAAAAATTCGTTAAACATCGGTTTTATTTACAGGGTGGCCAAAATGTACGGATTGTACGGATTTTTTATTTTGTAACCCTAAAATTGTACGGAATGTACGGATTGTATGGATTGTACGGATTTTTTTCAAATTGTACGGGTTGTACGGATTTTTATCTTGGAAATGCACCGTTTTTTTTTTATTTTCACTCATTTCAGCAAATTTTTACGAAAATTACAAAAAAAAAAATTTTCGTCAAAATGAAGTTAGTTTAACTTATTTTCTGCATTCTAAATAATATTAGATTGATTAATGTTTCAATTGACAATAAAAATTCATTCATAATTTTTGAGATCCCAGAAGTGTTCATTTGAGAATATGTTCCAGAAGTGTTCATTTAAGAATATGTTTATCTATCTGTCTTATCTGTCTAGGTATCTCTCTAGCTAACTGTCTAGCTATCTGTCTATCTATCTGTCTAGCTTCTGTCTAGCTATATGTCAAGCTATATGTCTAGCTATCTGTCTATCCATCTGTTTATCTATCTGCATGTCAGTTTATCTATCTGTTTATATATCCTATTTGTCTCTCTGTTTATCTATATGTGTATGTGTCTATCTGCTTCTCTGTCTATTTATCTGTCTATCTATCTGTCTGTCTGTTTATCTATCTATCTATCTGTCTCTTTATCAGATCTGAGAACATCCTCTCAAGTTTCTTCCGTTTATCTGTAAATCTTTTCATTTTTAATTTTATATTAACTTTCTTTTAATTGAGTGTGCAACCATGTACCACGCTAATTTTAATTATATTAGATCCTAAATCTACACTCCACTCTTTCTAATTATAACTTAATCGTTCGTTTGTTAAATGGCCTTATTCACACCGATCTAAACAGTTTTAAAAATTAGAATCAACGCTCTTTAGTTCTCTAGTTCTCTGGTTCTCTGGTTCTCTGGTTATCTGGTTCTCTGGTTCTCTGGTTTTCTAATTCTCTGGTTCTCTAGTTCTCTAGTTCTCTAGTTCTCTATTATCTAGTTCTCTAGTTCTCTGCTTCTCTGGTTCTCTAGTTCTCTGGTTCTCTAGTACTCTGNTATTTTCAAAAATGGTTTTACTTTTCTTAAATGTACGTATTGCAGGGATTTTTTTTCGAAAATAGTACTGATTGTTCGGATTTTTTAAAAAAAATGTACGGATTTTTAAAAAAATGTACGGATTTTTAAAAAAAATGTACGGATTGTATGGATTTTTTTTCGAAAATTGTACGGATTGTACGGATTTTTTTTTCGAAAATTGTACGGATTTCTTCTGAAAATGTACGGATTTTTTCAAAAAAGTTTTGGCCACCCTGTATGTAAGTTAAATGAAGAGGAATCACAAATATGGTAAAATTATTTGAACTGTGTTATTAAGCTGGATAGTTAAAATTATTTGATCTGTGTTATTTAGCTAAATAATTAAAATTATTTAATCTTTGTTATTTAGCTAGATAATTAAAATTATTGATCTGTGTTATTTAGCTAATAATTAAAATTATTTGATCTTTGTTATTTTTCTAGATAATTAAAATTATTTGATCTGTGTTATTTAGCTAAATAATTAAAATTATTTGATCTGTGTTATTTAGCTAGATAATTAAAATTATTTGATCTGTGTTATTTAGCAAAATAATTAAAATTATTTGAACTTCAGGAAGAGTATTTGTGAATTAAACATGTCAAGTACAGAGCAAATAGTTCTTCACATCAAGGACGATGATATTGTTCAAATAACAAACAAATCAATCAAAATAGAGCCAGACAAGATCATCGCAGATATTAAGAAAAGGTGAGAAACTGTGAACCCTCTATTTATAGAAATACCTGGCCGATTCACAACGGTATTCTTTCTATGTAGAAAAGTGGTGAATTCTGACATTTTTCTGCATTGAATCTGCGACAGAAATCCGCCTGTTTTTAAATATAGAGACACTCCAATTTAAAGTAACAATTTAACAAGGATATCTCCGTCACTTGTGGATGATAAAGGTTTAAATGGTACCGTTGTGAACCTGATCTGGTCAGATGGTCGCTTTCAATTACACCGTTAACGGTTAAAGAGTTATAGCAAGCAAAAGTAATAAAATGAATCCACAAAAAAAGCTTCGAATAAATTTGTTTAATTCGACCTCTGTTTATTTTCTTATTATATAGATAACTAGCTGAAGCGCTCGGCGTTGCCCGTGGAAAAAATTAAATTTAAAAAAAAAAATATTCGAAAAAAATCCATTTTTTTAGCCTACAACACCCCCTGGCAACCCTTGAGTGTCCACAAAAAAATTTAGCCCAATCGGTCCAGCCGTTTGGCCGGCTATAAGCAACATATATATAAACGAATGTCTTGTTTTATTATATAGACCCCCCCCCCCCCCTCTCTTTTAAATGTTATTTTTTCCTCTAGAAGTAAGGTTTGGTTGCGCTTAGGGGCAGAAAATGGTATGAAAAAGGATGAAAACGGATGAAAAAAACTGTTTTTCATGTCCAATTGTTTTTTTATTTTTTCCCCAAGATCTCCAAAAATCATTTCCCGTGGAATAGTTATTAAAAATATTCACTTCTGATGTACGATCATAACTTATGAAACCCCTTGACCTGATTTGACTCAAATTTTAAATAGGGGAACTCAGTAGAACCACGTAAATGTTCTTTGCTTATTTAAAAAAGGTGGTAATGTTACATCGTCTATACGCGACATCCCCCCTACTGAACTTCTGACCTTTCCGACCTGCAATATCGGACCTATGCCAGCTGTTTATTTTTGTATTATTTGAGGGTTAGGTTAGGTTAAGACTATTTCTGGGCCGAGCGCTGCGGCAATGACAGACTAGGGGGCCGAGCGCCGCGACAAGGACAGGCTAGGGGCCCGGGCGCTGCGGCCACAAGTCGATATAACAGCTGTAAGACCACGTGCGAGTAGGTCGGATGTGCAGTATAGCGGATTTGGCGTAGGTCAGAATTGGAGTATAGCGGATTTGCGTAGGTCGAAAAATACACCACCAAAAGGTTTAAGTTAGTTGGGTTGATTTATATATTTTGTTTCCAGGCCAAGCTAGTCATTGATATAACAAAGGTTTCAAGGGGACCGTTCTATTGGGAAAAAAATCCCTGAACATTAAAATTGTTTTTATTTTATTTTAGAGAAATTCCCCGGTTCAGACAGGATCCTCCGGCTCAAAGTGTTCTCTTTGCAATCCAGAATATTATGAAGGTAGAATTATTTGTAATATTTCTTGAAAAATCCCCCCTCTCACCACTCCTCCGAAGACTTCCTCATTCCTACTTCCACTTCCCCTCCCCCATTATTATTTTTCCCAGCGGCAAGTTTTTAAGGGTTATTTTCACTTTATTGGCAAAAAAAATTAGTTGTGGCGGGAAATAAATGATTCATAGGTTACATATGTATTTTTGGGTAAGCTGTTGATAAACGGGTGGAAGAATCTTTAGATTTTAATGCTTTCAAACAACAAAATTACCAGTTAAAAAATCCAAATGTTTGTTTGCTAATAATTTGTATTTTCAGATTACAGATCCCTCTAGTGGAGATATTGGGTTTATGGATCCCATCAGAGACTTCAAAATTCATGTAAAATTTTCTTAAATTCTTGAGAAAAATTTCTATTTACTAAGCTGATTATTAACTGGGCCCGCTATGTAAAAGATTTAGGAAAATACGACTCAGGTCCAAGCTGCATTATTTACAGCTTAGGCTTTTGGGTTCGGGTTTAAGTTGTATCTAATTTTGCACAGAATCGAATTCATTAATGGAATTGAACAGGACTCAACATTGAGTCTTATTTTCCACTAAAACCGACCATAAGATTTCTTTTATTTTCATTGGGTCTATCTCCGTAAGTTGAGCCTAGGATCCCTCAGCTGTCCATTACGTGACTCAAGCTATCATCAGAGTTGGGTTGAAGGAATTTTGACCCAAGTCGATGCTTTTAAATCGCGGGCTCTGGAATGTTATCGTCTTTTTAAGAGGCTGAAGAAAAACGCCTCACCTCTATATAAAATTAGTTTATTTTAGTCCGTTATGTGAGGCATTTCCGTGGTGAGGCGTTTCCTTAGCACCGTTTCAAGCTATACTTAATAAGAGTAGCATGGGTCCGATTTACAATGTTACTCTGAAACATCGATCTGAGTTTTAATAATTCCTTTATTGTCTCTGGCTCCGCATAACTCCTCAAGAACCGCAATCGAAAAAAAAATATTTTTTAGCTAGACTAATTAGGTTATCTCATTCATCCTTGATCAGCCAAAACTACAACGTGAACTGTTGTGAATCAGATATGCCACTCTAGGAATATGGGTTCATGTGACATTACGTTCATCAACCTTATCTTCTTTTTCCTTGTTTCGCTTTATTTTTGGTGAAAACGATTCACGCAATATTTATACGTTTTTAGAAAAGTTAATGTTTTACTGTTTCACAGGATCCGATGAACAAATTGAAAATTCAAAACTCGCCACGCTTAAAGGCCAAACAAACTTACTGTTTAGGATTTAGATCTGCTGACTACATTGAAGACAATGGAAAGTTTAATGGAAAGAATTGAAGAAATTGATTCATCTTCTTCCGATTTTACCCAACTTTTCTCCAAGGTATTAATTTGGATTAACTTTGTCAAATATATATCCATCGTCCACACTTTGTCTTTATTATCTTGAATATTTAGTTTTTGAACATCAATATTATACAAAGAGGCTGTAATTAATCTTATTAGATATTTTTTATGTTATCAAGAAAGTATTTTGTTATTTATTTTGTTGTCAGTTGACACTGCAACCATTTCATTTGCTTAATTGGGGACATTTATTATTTTTTGGAAGAATGTTATTATAATAATTTTTGGGGGTATGTTATATAAATTTTGGGGGAATTTTATTATATAAATTGTTGGGGGTATGTTATTATATGAATTTTTGGGGGGAATGTTATTTTATAAATTTTTAGGGGAATTTCATATGATTGCAACGTGGTGTACTGTGTACAGTTATTCAAATTTATGTACAGGTGTATACTGTATAGTGTTATACCAGTACGTGATGAATTAGAGAAGTGTGAATATATCTGTAGTTTACTGTGTACATGTATACAACTGAATGTGCTATGTACAGGTGTACAGTGTTATGTCAGTACGTGATGAACTAGAGAAATGTGAATATCTCTGTAGTTTACTGTGTACATGTATACAACTTAATGTGCTATGTACAGGTGTACAGTGTAATGTCAGTACGTTTTGAATTAGAAAAGTGTGAATATCTCTGTTGTTTACTGTGTACATTTATACAACTTAAAATGCTATGTACAGCTGTACAGTGTTATGTCAGTACGTGATGAACTAGAGAAGTGTGAATATCTCTGTCGTTTACTGTGTACATGTATACAACTGAATTATGTACGTAGACGAAATCTTACTGTACGAAAATGTACAGGTGTACAGTGTAATGTCAGTACGTAATGAATTAGAAAAGTCAGTGTACTGTGTACATATATACAACTGTATGTATTATGTACAGGTGTACAGTGTTATGCCAGTACGTGATAAATTAGAAAAGTTTGAATATCTCTGTAGTACTGTGTACATGTATACAACTGAATTTTTCATGTACACAGGAACACTGTACAGTGTATGTCAGTACGTGATGAATAAGAAAAGTGTGAATATCTCTGTAGTGTACTGTGTGCATGTATACAACTGAATGTGCTATGTAGAGGTGTTCGGAGTTATGTCAGTACGTGATGAATAAGAAAAGTGTGAATATCTCTGTAGTGTACTGTGTACATGTATACAACTGAATGTATTATGTACAGGTTTACAGTGTAATGTCAGTACGTGATGAACTAGAGAAGTGTGAATATCTCTGCTCTGAAGCTAGTCTATCTCTACTACCTGAATACCATTGCAGGAAACTAATATTCATTATTATTTTTATTATTATTATTGTTTTAAGTCCGTCCCTTTCTTCAGAATACCATTGCAAGAACGAATATTCATTTAACAACATTTCTATTCTTTATGAATTCACTTGTTATCAGGGGCGGATACAGGATTTAAGTGAGGGGGGGGACAAGATTTTTTAGGAACAAAAAAATCATATTTAGGAACAAAAAATCGCGGCGCAGGCGAAATCTTTTTTTGACTTAAAAGACTCAAAAGAATCAAAATTAATGACTGAAGACTAAAAAACTAGATTTTTAACTTTTCACACAATCTAGTTTATTAAGACAGATATTTTTCCTGTTTTGCACTAGGGTTTCTTTCCCTTAAGCATGCTATTGAGAAGCTATTCTGAAAATAGGAACAAAAAATTCCAAATTCAGGGGGGGGGGCTACGCCCCTTCCTGAATCTGTCAGGTGGGGCGAATGTCTCCCCGCCCCCCTGTATCCGCCCCTGCTTGTTATTTATTTTATGGTGTTAAACGAAAGAGCTTGGATTTTTGTAAGATTTTCTGGGCTCATATATATTAAGACAATTATTACTTGCTCTCCAAAATCTGTTTCCTCTCTTGTTGAAATATTCTGAATACTTTTTGAAAAAGATTTGTTTTCAGAGCTGAAAACTTTTGAATAGTGGATATCAGGATTAATGCTTAATCCACTTTTTTTCTTAATCTCCAGATTAAATATTGCTTGTTTTACTTTTGATTTTAATCTCCAGAAAAGTCAACAGATCCGGATTAAGGATATCACATTCTAAAGTTTTCAGCTCAGGAGTGACTGATAAGTTTCAGATTTTTAAAAGCCAATTATTATTTTGTTTAGTTTCATTTTGAATATTTTTGTAACCTGTTAGGACTCATGTACTGCGAACCCTACAGTACCTGGACTCTTCCAACACTGTTCAACTCAAGGAACCCAACTATTATTATTATTATCATATTTTTGTTATTTTTAATATTGTTTTGTGGATGGCAACAGAGTTGGAAACTCTTGAATCAAGGATATCTAGATTTTATCTCATGAAGTGTATATTGCATAAGCATTAAGCTTCAGTTTGCTTATCTATCTGCAAGACTTTCGTACATTTAGAAAAAGTGTCAATAAAAAGTTCACAGATTTTCCTGTTTTCATTGGTGGATTTTCATAATTAGATGAATATATAAAAATGGTTTCAATGGTTGGTGTTATAGGGTAGAGTAGCGTGTGAGATGGGAAGCAATGAAATTATTGTAACGGAACTCGTGTTCAACAATCAGCTGACTGAGCGCCCACCGGAAGAAATTGCCGCGTTGCTTTCTTGTCTTGTCTTCCAGCAGAGGAACTGCTCGGAACCAGAGCTCACGGCCAGCTTGAAGAAAGGAGTTGAGGACATAAAGGTTTGTTAATCTTAATGTTATTAATCATAGGAAACATTTTTTTTGGTTTTTGCCATGCACTTGTAGCCAAAAACGCGATCTCTACATCTTTAAATAGGAAGATTTCTTGATGTTATCTTCTTTTTTTAATATTTTCTTTAATGCAAAAATTTATAGAAACTAGTTTGTAAATTACAGTTAGTAGCTTGTAAGAGAAGTCCCTGTAAATAAAGCTCTACCACGTATCGTTTAAATTCATCTCGTATAATAGATAATCGCTGGAAAAATTGGGCAGTGTCAAGTTGAATGTGGCATTCTGCAACCTGTTGGGGACTACGTAGACTCTTTCAATTTTGGACTAGGTAAATAAAAAGCTTAAAGCGTCTGTTGTTAGTACATTGATAACTGAATACAACAATATTAAATTGATAACAGTTACAGATTGCTTGATTACGAGCTACTGGATTTATTCGTGGATTCCCTATTCGCGGATTTACATGACATATCGTCCCTGATTTCCAGTTTCTTATTTCATACGAAATTTATGATCCTCTACAGTCTCTACAGTCTACAAACTTGTCTGTATTTTTTCTTTATCAGTGGAGGTGGTTTACGAATGCATTTATTCCTTATATCTAGCGGAGGTGGTTTATGAATATATTTATTCTTTATCACTAGTGGAGGTGGTTTATGAATATATTTATTCTTTATCGCTAGTGGAGGTGGTTTATGAATGCATTTATTCTTTATATCTAGTGGAGGTGGTTTATGAATATATTTATTCTTTATCTCTAGTGGAGCTGGTTTACAATTGTATTTAGTCTTTATCTCTAGTGGAGGTGGTTTACAATTGTATTTATTCTTTATCTCTAGTGGAGGTGGTTTATGATTATATTTATTCTTTATCTCTAGTGGAGGTGGTTTACGAATGTATTTATCTCTAGTCGAGGTGGTTTACGAATATATTTATTCTTTATCGCTAGTGGAGGTGGTTTACGAATATATTTATCTCTAGTGGAGGTGGTTTACGAATATATTTATCTCTAGTGGAGGTGGTTTACGAATGGGCGCGAGGAATGCCGTTTGCGGATATCACAAAGCTAACGGATGTACAAGAAGGAGTAATTGTGCGAGCTATCCAAAGGTATTATGACAAAATATTTTCCAGAGACAAGTTTTCAGGTGTATATATTTTATGTAATTGTGCTATAAAATCATTCCCCCCTCCCCATTCAAAGCCATTTGGTTCTCTGGACTGTTATAACAGGAATTTTTAAAGTTTTTCCCCTGAATTTGGGATTAAATACATGACTTTTTGAGAAACAATTACCAGATGCAGTCTTAAAATTATTTTACCAAAATCTTTGTTTTAAATCTGATTTAAAATAGAAATAGATGTTAAATTTCCTTTAATTTAATCACGTCAATGGTTAATGGGAAAATAAAAGTTCTGAAAGAAATGAAAATTAGAAAAAGAAAATAAATCTATTTCTAATTACTACTCTTTAAATGATGTTATTTGAGATTCTTGTATTATTCTAGGTTGGATGAATCTTTGAGGGATGTGAAGGATGCTGCTCGTGTTATTGGAGACCCCGTTCTATATCAGAAAATGGACCAGGCATCAACTATCATTAAACGAGATATTGTGTTCGCCGCTTCACTCTACACTCAATAGATGGCGTTAGCATCATGTATCATTAAACGAAACATAGTGTTTGCAGCTTCACTCGCTCAATAGATGGCGTTTGCATCAACTATTAAGTAACTGTGATACTATTAATTTATCTGAATTAGCGACTATCTCAAATAAGTACAACTTTCCATACTTTTTATGCTTTTCTAAATATGCTGTTCAACAACACATAATGTGCTTTAAACCCTGTGTTAATTAATATTGTATTTTTTAAATTTCACAAGGTAACATTTTTTTCAGAAAATGGCTCAAGCATCTCTTAAACTTGGTCAGTTGCGCTCCTTGATAACTCCTGCCTCCCGGAGACTGTTAAGCACAAGTCGACCTGCCTGTGCTTCTCATCTCAACTACGAGGTCAAGGACGGGGTTGCCATCATTAAGTTTGATTCTCCAAACTCTAAGGTAAATTTAATGCTGTCAGTAATAAGGTTTTTTTCTGAAAAAAATTCTATAAAAATAATGTATTTTTTTCACCCACTCAAGCGGAAAATTACGGTTTTTTTAGGGGAAAATCAAATAGATTGTCAATAGATGGCAACGTAGTATTTGTACACTCTCAGTACACCTGTATTCTTACATCATAAGTGTCAACTCAGTTTTTGTGTCCGACAAAATTATCAATAATATTGATAATTTTAGAAAAAAGAGCTAATCTTACAGTGAAAAGGGTACAATTTTTTGTGATATTTATTTTCTGTTCTTACATTTTTTCTTTAATCTTGAAAAACATGTCAAATGATGTGAGAAAATTTCGTTTCCTTGGTATATTTGACACTTGTGGCGTCGTGTATAATTGATCCATTTCACTTGATAATCTATTTGGGCAAAATAGAATTCAAGAGGGGAAAACACTTTTCAGTTTAAGTCCTTTACTCGCATATTTTCCCACAAATCTTCGAAAATTATCCAAAAATTTGAAAATGATACGCGGTTGGGAGTTAATCGTCCAGTACAGTAAGCCGGATAGCTTGCTTGGTAGAGTCAGATTTATAATGGGTTTATTGTCACATTTGTTATTACTCATAGTTTTTCAAAATATTGTTCTCTTGTTCTCTTGCAGATTTATAATGGGTTTATTGTCACATTTGTTATTACTCATAGTTTTTCAAAATAACAATTTATTGTTTTCATCAATGGCTTCTCTATACAATCTCTGTTTGTTAATTGTTACAAAGTAAACATTATAAATAAAAGTGGCGTGCGTGCAGTTGAGACAATGTAAATCTTCCTCATTGTCGAATTCAGATTAAGAATAAAAGGGTATCGTTGTGAATCAGACATGCAAGCAAAGAGACGTGGGTCACTTAAAATTAGACACAGCCTCTTTATATAATATTTTTCTTTCTTCAAGATGTTTAAATATTTAATTCTTAGGTGAATTCTTTGGGTGAGGAGTTGACCGCTGAATTCGAGGAAGTTATTAATAAATTTAGCAACGATGCCTCCGCCAAATCAGCCGTTCTCATATCCGGCAAACCAGGCTGCTTTATCGCAGGGGCAGATATTAAGGTAAATCTCCGAGTTTCTTATTTCATGTAAGGGGCGGATATTAAGGTAAGTCTCCGAGTTTCTTATTTCATGTAAGGGGTGGATATTTAGGTAAGTCTCCGAGTTTCTTATTTCATGTAAGGGGGGGATGTTAAGGTTAGTCTCCGCCATTCTTAATATTTTCGGTTGAACACTGAACAGGTTGCTTCATCACTTATTACATTCGTATCCGCCGAATCTGGTAGCAGCTGTAGATACGGCGGATAATAATAACAATCCCCTTGAATGTAGACATTAAATGATTAAAGATATGTTAAAATTAATTTCTTTAAAATAAAGTTTTTATTTTAAAATTTGTTTTGTCTAGATGCTCGAACGATGCAAGACTGCAGAGGAAGCAACTCATCTCTCTAAATCCTGTCAGGATCTTCTATTTAAGGTTAACATATGAGTTTTTCTCTCAAAACAGGAAAGTGTTATCATGCAGAATATAAGGTTTATCAGCATGGATAACATCCACCCCTTCCCCCAACCCTTTTGTGCATATTCTAAATTATTTGTTTTAACAGTTTATTTTGCATGATTAACTTTTTTTTTACACTTTTTAAATAGACGCTTGAATTAAAGAGCAATATACACTGTTCACTAGAATTGTGAATCCTTTCTTTCTGATGGTTCATCTGGGTTGAGAAAATTCTGAAGTTTTAATGAGCTTGTCTCTTAGTTTGAGGAAAGTCACTAACTTTATTTAAATCTTTTCTTCTAGGTTGAAGTCATAAACTTTAAAGATCTTGTCTCCTAGGTTATGAAAAGTCCTAATTAACTCAAAGATCCTGACTCCTAGGTTCGGAAAAGTCTCAAATCTTCAAAATCTTGTCTTCCAAGTTGAGAAAGTCCAAACCTCAAACTCTTGTCTCCCAGGTTGAGAAAGTCCAAACCTTAAAGATCTTATCTCCTGGGTTGAGAAAAGTCCTAAATCTTAAAGATCTTCGATTCTAGGTTGAGAAAAGACCTAAACCTTAAAGATCTTGTCTCCTAGGTTGAGAAAAGTCCTAAGCCTGTTGTTGCCGCTATCCAAGGATCTTGTCTCGGTGGTGGTCTAGAGGTTGCTATGGCCTGCCACTACAGGTAGGAACAGATAAACAATATTATGCTGCGAGGGGGGGGGGGGTGTTAAATCTTGTAAGGATCGCCATAATAAAATGGAAAAGTCAAGCATCTTAATTTGTATTAAAGTATATTCAGAAATCCAAAATTTGAAATTGGAACAATACTACAGCTAGTAAATCAATTCCTTTTTTATATTTGCTGGAATTCGAGATGTTTAAATTTTGCCTAGTTAATCAATTAGTTCGAAATACTTCACTTCAGGACGGAATACGGAACCCAACTTAAGCACAGAATAATTAATGAACTTAACTTAATTATGATATACTGAGCTCAACTTAAACAAAGAATACCGTGTTTAACTTTTGCACGGATACTAAAAGATCAACAAAGAACGGGATACTAGGCTCAAATTAAGTATTGAACACTGAACTCAACTTAATCCTGGTTTCCCATGTTTGTAGAATAGCAGTTGATGGTATGAAGACCGGCCTCGGTCTACCGGAGGTTATGCTTGGAGTTCTACCTGGAGGTGGTGGACTAGAGAGACTACCAGCTCTCACAGGTATAATTAACATTGCTTGACGTACTTAAATCTTGGAAAATATTTTTCCACAAGCATTTTAGGAATTTTTCTGCGTAGAAGTTTAAACTTTTAATTTTTTTTGCTTTTTTAGGGAAAATAATAATGAAAAATCTATGAAATTTAAGATTTGAATTATCTAAAAGAGAGACATGTTGATTGTTCATTTTCCTCAAATTTTCAAGATACTTAAACCTCCCCTAATATTGTTTGTTTTTCTTTTAATTGTTTTTCCCTTAAACAAAATGAGATAAAGAATTTTAATGATTTTACATTTTGTATTTATTGAAAATATAAACAGTAAAGAGCGCTCATAGACCGATAATTATTTAGGCCTGATGAACACTCTCGACATGGCCCTGACCGGTAAAACCTTAAACGCCAAGAAGGCCAAGAAGGTTGGTCTTGTGGACACGGTGGTAGATCCCCTGGGACCTGGCCTGGCCCCAGCCGACGTAACCACACACAAGTACTTGGAGGAGATAGCCATTAACACTGCCCGGCAGCTGGGAGATGGAACTATGAAACTCCCAGCTAGAGGTCCTAAGTCTACCGTCGACAAAGTAAGCATTCACTTTTAATTCAACGTTTTTCCTCCTGATGATATTCATTACTTTTTCTCTTCTTTTATTATCTTGTTTTCATTACGTTTGGAAGGTTTCAATCGTTAAATTTTAATTTTCTTAAAAAATGAAGGGATATTATTAGGAAAAGCCTTAAAAAGAGTTTTCTAAAGTTTTCACTATTTTATATTTCAATGCCCCCCGCCCCCCACAAAAAAAATTTCAGAAACAAAACTTTTTTCTTTCGCATTTTGAGAATTTTTTTGTTGTGTTTAGTTGACAAAGATGGCGCTAGGTTACGACAAAGTGAAGGACTACGTATTTAACACCGCCAAGGGGAAGGTTATGAAGCAAACCAATGGACTCTATCCCGCTCCTCTCAAGATCTTGGAAGTTCTCAGGTCAGGAAATCATAATTTGAGTTTTTAAAGTTTTAGAAATCCACAAAAACAAAACCGGAAATCCTCGAAATATATACTTTTTTTGACGTTGAGAGAAAAATTTAACTATAGAGCTTGATTTTTTTTGAGAGAGATACAGCGACTTGAAGCGCCATGGAAGCATAGATTGTTTAATTTTTTCGTTTTTAAGTAATTTCAACTTTTTTATGCACAGTTTCCTCCTGATTTTTTTTTTTAAATAAATGTTCAAAAATAAAAGAGGATATCAATTATGATTTTTATTTTATTCCTATTTGGTTTTACTTTATATTGTAATAAGAATTTGATAGTCACCATAACCCAAGNTAGATAAAGGAGCAGCTCAAGGATATATTGCTGAACACACTAAATTTAGATAATATTCTCTTTAATCTTGAATATTGTAGGACTGGGTTAGATAAAGGAGCAGCTGAAGGATGTATCGTTGAACACACAAAATTTAGATAATATTCTCTTTAATATTGAATATTGTAGAACTGGGATAGATAGAGGAGCAGCTGAAGGATATATTGCTGAACACACAAAATTTAGATAATATTCTCTTTAATCTTGATTATTGTAGGACTGGGTTAGATAAAGGAGCAGCTGAAGGATATATTGCTGAACACACTAAATTTAGATAATATTCTCTTTAATCTTGAATATTGTAGGACTGGGATAGAAAAAGGAGCAGCTCAAGGATATATTGCTGAA